TCAGCAAGCTGCCTTGAGACAAGCCAATTTGTAAGCTTGTCTGCCGCTACCTTCTGGCTGGCTTATGACAACAAGGACATATCTTCCACCAGGATGGGGACTGGGTGAGAAGTGACTCAGGCAAGCTAGCTCTGGGGGCAGGTGAGGAGAGATTAGGGAAGCATCTCCTGAGAGTGGTTAGCTGGCTACAGGGTGTTTTCTAATGATATCACAGTGTAAAAAATATGTTAATTTCCCAGTTTGCTCTAGATCCCATTTTATTTTATTTTATTTTTTAAAGATTTTATTTATTTATTTGACAGAGAGAGAGCGAGAAAGAACACAAGCAGGGGGAGTGGGAGAGGGAGAAGCAGGCTCCCCGCTGAGCAGGGAGCCCGACGTGGGGCTCAATCCCAGGACCCTGGGACCACGACCCGAGCCGAAGGCAGACGCTTAACAACTGAGCCACCCAGGCGCCCCTAGATCCCATTTTATTTTAAATAAGACTCTATGTTAAATTGAAAACATTTTCCTGGCACAGGTGTGCATCAGAATCATCGTCTCTCACCCCACTTTCAAGGAAAAATGTTTTCAAAAAAATACGAATCCTTTTTTATCCTCTGGTTAACTGAGACCCATGTCCTCCGACTCCAGCAACCATACTGTTAAACTTCTTGTCAGTATTTAAGAGAAAATGCAGGATTTGTGTATGGATGAGGGAAAGCTGGTTTATAAAAGCACATAAACCATCAAACTAGTCAGTGCTATTATAAGGCCTGGATGTCAGAAAGTCACTCTCAGAATGATCTTTGGCACACCAACGTCTGGAGGGAGGGGGGAGAGTCACCTGTCTGCTTAGGAGATTTGCAATATGTTCGTTCATATTTGTTATATGGTCAACACAGCCTTGCTCTGAATGTGAACTTCAATGGAAGCAAATCATGGGTGGGTTATGTCATAACCCACATATTAGCCCCTCTAGAGATTGTATTTGAGATTTCTATACTTCAGTCCCCGAAAAACTTTGCTTTCCTGAAGAAGCAATGCTTCCTTATTTTTTGATGAATGGCTGTATTTCCCTTTTTGCTTCAGTTACTAGGGAGCTCACAGCTAACTGTGAAGCTTTAGCAGACTATTTATATCCCTTCTTAGAGCCTATATTGTGTTCTCCTACTATGTGGTAACAAATGATTTACTTTTGCCTTTTTTTTCCCTTATACCCTAGCTATATTTTGCCATTATTTTTTATTATATACATTTATGTAAACTAATTCTTTTGTGGAAACAGGAGGGTATAAGCCAATGAATGACTATTTCTCTAAGTCCTGTATCAAACAAGAAATTTTTTTATTTATCATATAAAGTCTCTTTTGGATCCTTTGGTGATTATGCCACTTACACCCTGGAAGAGATTTCTTAAAATCTGACTATGTAACATTACTACATTTTTAGTGCTAGGGAATACACTGTTTTCTTTATTTATTTTCACTTATGCTTATTCCAGGATGGTTATAGAGTAGAGTTAGTTTTTAGCAGCTCTGAATGCTATCATCACGTATTAGAAGGCATGTATTAGAATCCCCACACAAACCAAACTCAGCATCGATATTTGGGGCTCTTTCTATTAAGATAAGGTTTCACAGTGAGTAACTGAGAATCATCTTTACCTAGGGAAGCAAGTCAACACTGTATATTTCTATAACCTGAAACCACATCTTGGATGTTGAGTTAAATATATATCTCTGGCAAAGTCAAAAGGGCTGCCCAAGGAGGTTCGAACATCATCACAGATCCCTTCATTCCCATCATCTTGACAATATGAAAATACTTCAGAGAGAATAACTGCCACACATATGCACTGGACACCAGGAGCTGTTAAACTCAACAGAGAGTAGAGGAGAAATCCACTCTGGCTGTCTCTATATTCACGCCATACAATAGAGCTCAGTAGAAGTTTCTCTACTTAGTTTTCTCATGAGTCAAAATATCATCCTAATTCTTTCCTGAACATAAGCCACGTTAAAGCCACCATATTTATTTACATGTTGAAAGGAAGTAAAACTGAGGAAGGAATATTTTGAGAGTTACAAATGCAGATATAACTATGTTCTAACGAACTGACAGGCTCACAATATTCCTCAACAATTTCACTGGGTAAACCTTTGATGATACAGTTATGCTTCGTCTTTATTTAATGAAATTATTTAAAAAAGGAACTGAGGGACCATAATTTCATAGACTCCTTATCTCTGTCTAGAATTTGATGGAATAACTTCTGAGCCAAAGTTGTAGGACACAGAGTGTTTGGTTTGCATTCAATTAAGGGTGTGTGTGTGTGTGTGTGTGTGTGTGTGTGTGTGTGTGTAAAAGATTAAGTATGTACTTAATTGAATAACTTTGAGCACATTTTACGTAGCATGCCACCCATGGGGACCCCAAGCCCCGACAACTGCAAGAGGACACTGAAGAAACTTGAAAAGAGTTAAGTGTGGAGTATCCTATTAGGACTTAGACCATAACATCTACCGGGTTGGAAATCCTTTCCCAAAGTTTTGGCATAGATTTTTTTTTTCTTCTCATTCTTTAGGCATTTAAAAACATACCGCACTCTTATTGGATTATTTTCACATTAACCTGGAAATACTCTTACACTTTAGTTTTGAATGCTAAACACCTACATCAGCATATGCAAACATCATTTCTTAGTGACTTACCCTTCGTCACTTCCAAAGGAAGCCCTCTGTACCTCATAGTTTCTACCTGCATGTTCCACCATTGCTGGCGACACTGAACACATCTACCATGGAAGGTAGAAATACACTGGGGTCAGTGTCTGCTCCCGGGCAAATCAAGATGCTGACTATTGATACACACTTTAAAACCCATTACATAAAATAGCAGGGAATGACTGCACAGAATGTGCCAGTTACTGTCCCATGTCTACACAGCTGCTTTATCCTGCAGAAACCTCAATTATGGTCTCAGATTTTAGGAAAAGATTGACTTAATGTTACAGTAGAAAAGCAGTGAAATACACTGCTTTTAAGGAGAAACCAGCACAGGGTTAAAGCCAAATTTTTCTTGAACAGATGATATTTCAGATGGCCACACTATTCCAGATGCATCAATTTCCTTGAAAATCCAATCCATATATGTGCATATGCTGTGCTGGCAGGAGGACTGACTGAAATGGCCAAAACCCAAGAGCTAATATTCTTTTGGCCAGAATAATGCAATTATTATTTTCCTAGCTATCAGTCTAAGCATACAGAGCCATCTGTTATGCAAAGCAAACATACACATCTCAATTACAGAAAATGCAGTTGCCTTGACAGAATTTGGATTACACCACTAACCAGGGCTGTAAAATGTGTTTTGAGCTAGTATATAATGGATGCTTTTCAGGAGTTCCCTAATTAGCATTTACCTGCTTAAACTAATTATTCATCCTTCTTCTTCACTGGCTTATTAAACTTTGTTGGATACTCTGCATAAAACAGATGAATATGGGCATTGCAGAACAACAAACAGTGGTGTTTCCAGCTCTGAACAGTGTGAACGAACATGGTGGCGTGCCCATGAGAGCCAAACTGGGGATTCTCAAAACTCGTGTCCCAAATAGATTAAGACAAGGATTAAAATCTACAAAAAGCTATTATTACAAAACCAGATATTTCAACAAGAGGCAAGAATGCTAATAGTGAGTTAACAATAGCCCAGTTTCTATCATTTGGTTTGCTAAAACCCACATAAAATAGAATTACTCTATAAACTATAGCCAATAGCTTGCGTGTTCTTCAAGGAAGAATTAATGGACCCTTGCTTGGATTTTCAACAGTAAATAATCAAATTTGGCAGTGTTTCCCCTCCTCCTCCAACCCTCCTCAAATGCCAAATATCTTTCTTTATTATTTCCCAGTGTCTTTCTTGATTTAGCTATTACCCAGCAAACTCACTAACAGCCAAAATGTTCCAGCCGTGCCGGATGCCTCCTTAGAGTGGTGCCAACTTTCGGAAGCAATGAGTCTGGGGTGGGTCTTGCTTAAGAGGAGAGAGACAAATCTTATCTCCGTCTTTAGCTCCAAGGGGCAACTGAATGAGAAGTAGATTATCCAACTTGGCAGATCATCACATACATACAAAATCCCTCCCACCGAGGCTGTGTTTTCCTCATGCCAAACTACCAGATGAAAAGGGTCAAGCTCCGCCAATCACCTGTATGGGCACAGATATCCAGATGTTCAGCATTTTTACGGAAAAGAAAAAACCCACATCTAGATAATTAGTGGAATCACAAACTTTTCTTCAGGGGATTTTGGCATTCTGTAGATGCAGCCTGTGTCCTGGAATCTGATGGAAGTAAAATTTGTGTGTTCCAGGGGAATCTCAAGACCTAACATCTAGGATTTTGTCCCTTGTCCCAGTTGCCTCCATCTTTTCTTCCAACCTCTGACAGACACATGCGAATAATTAAACCGCACATAATGAAAGGCGCTCTTATTTTATGAAATTGTCTTTCAGCATTAGGAAGCATTTGCAAAGGCAGCAAAATATATCCTTGCTGGAACCCTCCCTGCAACACATTTTAATGGTCTCTTTCAGCATTTCTTGACTCCAAATGACTCCCTGTCATTGTGTCAGCTCCCAGGGTAATGCAGGGTACTCCATAAACATCCAGTAATAGGACACAAGGGAAGCACTATTAGTGTGTCCCTCTCCTACCGGGCACAGAGGTTTCAAAGTTCAAAACAACTGAGGAAAGAAACTTCATTTGTTCTCAATAAATTAATAATGATCCTTGGGCGGGGGGGGGGGAACTAAAGTTTTGGAGCACAAGTTTATTCTGAACGTTCCAAACGGACAGAATTTTCTCACTGACTTTGTGAGAAGAGCCAGGTAGAGCCATTAAAGAATAAATTTGGTAATTCATGCCAAACTAATACCCGCTGAAGAAGGAAAAGCACAAGGCAGAAGGAACCTTCACAATCACTGTCAAGAATCTAAATTGTTGTTTTACTTACTTGTGAGAGGCCTAGGTAGATGGAGACGGTTTCGGAAATGTACAAAAATTTTCCTTCTTGATTTAGTGCAAATACAAAGCCATCCAGGGACTGCAGAAAAAAATAAATATATAATTAAGTTAATAAACATATGATGGAGATTTAATTAATAGGGCATGTGATACAAAGCAACACATACTGAATTCAAGACTCTGTTTTTCTTCATGGCCAATAAAAGTCCTAAGATATTCTACCATTGCCCTGTAAGTGAACAAACAAAAGGTCTGAATGAAGACTACGAGCTTCCCTTTATTTCAGGGACTTCCTATGTCTCCGTCACTTTGACCAATATACATCATATTCTTGTACAAAATCAGGTCATGATGATTTTATGAGCTGTTGACTTTATTTTTTTGGATTCAGTAGGTTAAAAGATAAAATCAGCCAGTTCTCCACTAAATAGCTGAGCAGGAATGGAAATTGTAATGAGACGAGAGAAAAAAAAAAAGGGACCCTTTACGAAGAGCAAGTAAAAATCACCACTTGAGCTACTGTGGACATCAATAATTTGCTAATTAATAAAGGATTATACCCTTCTCACTCCCGGTGCCTATTGTGGTAGAACAAATAGGAAAAGTCAATACATTATGGGTGAACGATTATAGGCCGAAACCTTACAAACTGCAATCCTTTTTTGCAAAACTCTATGCTCAAGTTTTATTGTGATATATCTAGATTCTATTACAGCTCCTGAAATGGAAACAAAAGAAGGGGGTGGGGAGGGAAGGAAGCTACGCATCATCTGTAACTCTTGAAACCTTTGTCCACTTTCCAAATGGAGGATTGCGTTGTCAGTTTGATGAGTGGTGTCAATCATCATGGACTCCAACTGCAATGTACCACTCAAATGGAGAATACCTTTGTTTCAAATTCTTGCAATCCAAGTGCATTTTATACCCTCCATCCTTATGTCTTTTGTTTCGCTTTATGTATTTATCTTTAACCAGGTAGGTGGCCCAAGTACTGCTTGCACGGGAAAAGATGTTTCAAAGAGTAGTGGTTTTTACAAAGGCTGTGAGGTTGGAAAAACAGGAACCCCACACTGGGATCAAGGCATGTGGCAACACTCAATTAATGACATAATTCTTAAGTATGGAAGGGTGGAAGTAGCATGTAAAATTCAGGTAGAAACATGGACTGTCTCAAATCTCAGCAATAATCTCAGTTGCCTAAAATACTGAAATAAAATACTGAACTTTTTTTTTAGAGCTCTAAAAGTATGTATGAAATATATATATTTATGTATGTACACGGGAATATGTACATTTGGATTCCATTACACACACACACACACACACGACATTTGGATTCCATGCTTACTGACCCATTTTCAGAGCTCCACTGGTCAGAGACTGTGGGTAGCAACCCAACTTCCTCCTCTGATTAGGTGTGTTGCGAAAACATTTCAAAAGTCACTTTACATGATGACATTACAAAATACATGATAGACAAGCTTTTGGTCAGGACATCGTCCATTTATTAAGCAATACGTGCTAAGCAGTTTGTATGTGTTATCTCTTTTAATTTTCACAGTATAATTTGAGGTAATTATATTATTATCTACATTTTATAAACAAGGAAATTGAGGCTTAGTGAAGGCAGGTGACATGCCTGTCTCCAGTTAGTGATGGAGTTAGGATTTGAACTGTGACAGTCAGAATTAGTGACAGTACTGCCTCCACTAAAAACAAAGGTTTTCTGATTGATACGTGTAAATTAATGGAAAGAAATGGTCCCAGAACTTCTGAAGTTAAACTGTACTAAGATGCGGCCTATGACTTAAAAATCGTCACTTGATTTTGAATGATTCGTCCACTGTTAGGAGACAGATAGGAAGTGGGATGACAAGAGAGTCCACAAGTCACTCCCACAAGAGGTTAACTTGTCACCTTGCTATGTACTATGTCTCCTGGAATCAGCTATGGGACAGGGAACAAAATACTGCTTAGTGGACTCCTTCCCTTTGACCAAACTGCCACCCCCTCTGGAGCCTGGTGAGATGTAACCTTTCAAGCTTGGAGTGTGGCCCAGTGGAATCTCACTTTGAACCAGTGCAGAGGGACAGATGTTCCTTTTGTGGAAGTTTGGGAAGGATCCTGTTTCAACATGTCTTTACTTCATACAGGAGATCTCCTGAGGATGACTCATGAAGATTAAGACCCTCCCCCCTACTCCTTTAAGTCTTCCCCATGGACAAGTCTTCTACTCAACCCAATGGCCATGCCCTGGAATACAGTCGGAGAGCTGTGTGAGCCATCTTCTCAAAGCTTACAGTGCTGCTGTCAGATTAGAGAGACAGAGAGAGAGGAGACAGGAGAACCTTTTATGGGGACACATGACAAGTGAAAGGCTGACTCAAAGAAGAAAGGACTGCTGGAGCTGGCAGAGAGATAACCTCTTATCCTCCAAACCCTCATTTTACAGGTGAGGAAACTGAGGCAGAAAGAGGTTCAGTGCTTGGACCAGATCATTCGGTCAGCTGGTGGCAAAGCTAGGATTAAATGTGCTGCCCCACAATGATACTGTTAAAGCATTTATGACATTGTATGGTCCTGACTGGCTTATTCAACTCCCAAGGAGACTGAATTTCTCAACAGCGGGTGATGTCTTATTCATCTTTATCTCGCCAACACCTAACAAGCGCTCAAACAAGACTTAGTAACTTCCAGTTCTACCTCCAAGCCCCATACTTCTTCCCTTAGATCACGTATGCTAGAAGGACTGAGAGGGTTGGAAATTACCTTCTGCAAGAGTCCTGGTCATGAAGCCCTTAGAGGATTTGCAGACTCTGATGCCACAGATGTCTGACACAGCCTGGGATATCTCCTAACATTTGCAAGACCAGAGTCAGACTAGATTCTTCTGTAGTTCTCCAAAACACCTAGTGCAGGGCATTTGCCAGCCATACACATCCTTTCCGTTCTCCCCGAAAGGGATCATGATTTCGTAACATTAGGTTCCTATCTCTTGTATTCACTAAAACAGTAGAGGATGTTTGGGCATGATAGCAAGGAAAAAAAAATTTCTGGAGGCAAAACATCTGACGGTATTAAGCAACAGTGATCTAAGAACTGGCCAGTTTTGTTTGGCAAAGCAGAGGCTCCGACACATGTTCCAATTTCCTGGTGAGATTAAAATGAGTCTACGTCTACATGACACAAAGCATCCAGTCAATTCAATTAAAAATAACAGCCAATTTGGTGTGGGAAGAACGCAACTCGTCAGATGAGTTGTTTGTCATCACAGAGGTAAAAAACAAAAATAAACTAAACGAAACAAAACAAAGAAAACCTGGTTAGCCATATTTTTTACCTTTATGTTTATCACATCATTATATCGACAGTGTGAGATGACTGTCCCAAACTCAGATCTGATTACCTTTCAAATAAGGCAATGGGATATGAACTTGGGTCAGTAGCAGACTGGCAAGGTTGCCCTTCACACAGCCATTGCCTTCTGATTGAGGGTCATCCCTGTCCACAGTTAGCTCTGTTCTGCTGCTTAGGGAAGTTTTAAGAGTAGCATCGATACTGGTTTTATGTGTGTGTCTTAGTCTTAAAAGGTGGCAGGAGGAAGGAAACATCCAATCCGTTAGTCTTGGGAACCAAAGGTGATAAATCTGAAAGTTCTGTGGAATTTTTAAAAATTCAGATTCAAGAAAGCTACTACATTCCAAGCTTTTTCAATCACTGCAGGCTACTTTTTGATTTTTTTTTTTTTTAACTGCCCACTGTTTTCAACAGGCGCCAATTAAGATTCTGGGGTCAAAGGGTTAATTACGTCTCCTTACTTACTATGTACAATTTTCTGATTATTAACTAAGGTTGGATTAAGATGAAAAAGAACCTACACAAATGTTAATGCTAGTCCCTCCTTGAGAAGATTTATTATAAAGCCATGCTGAAATCTATCTGCTTTCCTCAAAGCAGATGGAGAACAAAATCTTAGAAGAAACAGTAAAACAGACATTTTAAAGGCATGCTAGTATCTGATTTATCAAGACAGTTTTCTTATTACTAAAACCAGTTCTTAGCCATCCTGACAGGGCTGATAGGAGATTTCCTTTGTCACATCCTGGTAAGTCTATGAGGTACACATACAGGAGGGAGGCTTGGATGCACAAGTCAGGGGCTACAGCATCTCTGAATAATAATGCCTGTAATTATAATTTATATCCCCTGACATCCGTGTAACATATAAAGTATAAGACACAGTTTCTTAACCCCAAAAGCTGAGGGCCTCTACCAGTATTTGTCAAATGATGAGGTTATTTCCTTGCAGGGTATGAAACTAACTATAGCTTCATGACTGAAGGTACACTAATGTTTAATGCATTGTGCTAAATGGATTTATATTTGTCAAAGTAGTTTTGTCTCGGCTTCCTTTTTTTTTTTTCCCCTGCATATTCCACTGCAGCCAAATCTCACAGAGTGAAATCTTAACCATGGTGCCCTTATGGGGTAATTCTCATGTATATAACCACTTTGAGATTAGCGATTCTTTCTTCCACATTCCAATGCAGAAGAGGAAAAAAAAAATCACCCCCAAACTCTTTTCCTATGACCTCACTCCAGTTAGAGTGAAGAATTACCAGTAGGCTAGGTTATTTTAATGACAGATTATTTTAAACTAAGCCTTCACCATCTGTTCCGCCCCCTAATTATGAATGCAAAAGGAACATATTTCACAATTACATCAGTAAAAAAGTAAGATACACGTGATTTAAATGCATGCATGTGCTCCATGTCCAATGCACCGTGCATCTGTGATGTTCTTCTAATTCAGGCTTAGACTATGCAGAAAATACCCAGCCCTGAGAGAGGACAGTTTCTGACACACCCAACTTTCTCCCCAAACCCACGGTTTTTCATTGTTATGACAAAATCCTGTTAGAGCAGGAACAGAACACGGATGTCAGCACAAGGCTTTTGCAAGCCATGAAATAAGAGTATTTTATAACTGCTGAGACATCTTTGCCGTTCATGAGAAGAGGTTGTATGAGAAAATTTCTTCTGCTCTCTGAGCAATGGGTTAGCATTGGAAACGGGGGA